AGTCTTTAAATAGTTATGATGGTATTCCAAGAGAGGTTTACATAAGTAGTCCCCTTTAATTGAGCATTTGAATTATTTAGCATTGATTGTTATTTTGTAAGTATTCGGTGTTGTATATGCTTGTTTAGATGAAAATAATAAAATTTTTCTGTAAACTGAAGGTTTCTGTCCTTCCAAAATTCCTATGTTGAAACCTAACCCCCAATGTGATGGTATGTGGAGGTGGGGCCTTTGGGAGGTGACTGGGTCATGAAGGTGGAGCCCTCATGAATGGGATTAGTGCCCTTATAAAAGAGGCCAAGAGAGCGCCCTCATCCCTTCTGCCTTGGGGAGGACTCAGCAAGAAGGGGGCCCTCTGTGAACCAGAAGGGGTGTCCTCACCAGAAACTAATCTGCCAGCACCTTCAACTTGGACTTTCCAGCCTCCGTCACTGTGAGAAATAAATATTTGTTGTTTATAAACCACTCAGTCTATGGTGTTTTGTTATAGCAGCCCAAATGAAGTAAGACACGTGTATTTAGAAAAGAGCAACTTAAATATTTTAAATAGTGGAAAATAACCAAAGATTAAAGTTGGAGTTGTTCATTTTAGAGAAAACCTTAAAGAGTTAGTTTTTTGAAATACAGCAAAATCTGAATCAACTGGATTCTGTCAGCTGTGTGTCTGTGTGAGTGTGAGTGTGTGTGTGTGTGTGTGTGTGTGTGTGTTTTGAGAAAGACTGTCGAAAGACACAATTCATTAGGAAAATACACAGCCCATCAATTTCAGACGGCTTTAAAAACCAATCCTTTGAGCACTGTTGTTCAGGAGAAGGGGGGTGCTAATGGAGGCTGGGAGAGAGGAACGGGTTAACTGTGGGACAGAGCGGGGACAAACAAAACAACGGAGAAGAAAAGTGAACAAGGGGAAGTAAAGCCATTCATCATGCTTGTAAGTTGGATATCAGGGAGTTAGAGAAAATGAGAACTCTTTGGGGTCTGTTCTGAGTCGGGACAGACTTGGTCCCCTTTCCTACACATTCTCCGTATATATAGACATCGCTGAATCTCACCCTCATTTTCATAGTGAGGAAACAGGTCCTGAGAGGATGAATGACTCCACTAATGCTCTCTGTTGCCATCCCTCTCATCCGGAGAAAATTATTCTTCATACACATTGCAGAATTCTGCATTATGAAGAGGCAGTTATCATATATAAATACAACAAATGTATTTAAGAAGTATTTTCACATTAAGGTTGAAACAGGTTTATGCTGCTTACAGATTTAACTTACTGATAATAGAGAATTAAATTATCCAGAATGCTTTGGTTTCCTGGCATTCGAGTTCATGAAGGTTTTTGTACAAATGTAATGCTTTCTTCTGCCAAGTAATAAGAATGTTGTAATCCACCCTCTTTCCTTTTGTTCTGGCTGTTAGGAAGCCGTTGAGATGATCAGGCGAAATTTAACATTTAAAGATAGTATAATGCCTCAGAACTTACACATTCTATTTTGCATAGCTTTATTTTTCTATTTCTGTTCTAATTTAACTTATTGTTAAGTGCCAGGGATCGTTTAAATTAAGGGACACATCGCTATTATAGATAAGTTTCTGGATTTCTTTCAAAATTGATATATATCTCTAAAATAAAACTTCAGGGTTTTTTCTTCAGTATTCTTTACTTTTTCTTCAACCCACTGATTTCTAAAATTTTAATTTTCGATTTCTGAGCCCCAGAATTTCTGATCTTTTGATGCTTGATGACCCCCTCAATATACTAAGGGAGCCACATTTTAGAAATTTATTTATTTTTTATTTATTTATTTATTTTTAAAGATTTTATTTTTTCCTTTTTCTCCCCAAAGCTCCCCGGTACATAGTTGTGTATTCTTCGTTGTGGGTTCCTCTAGTTGTGGCATGTGGGACGCTGCCTCAGCGTGGTCTGACGAGCAGTGCCATGTCCGCGCCCAGGATTCGAACCGACGAAACACTGGGCCGCCTGCAGCGGAGCGCGCGAACTTAACCACTCGGCCACGGGGCCAGCCCCTAGAAATTTATTTTTTAAAGTTCAGAATCCTGTTGTAATGTGAATGGTGTCTCTCTCATTTATATACATATTTTAAGTTTGGATTTTTGTGAAGTGCTCAAAATGGGACACACCTGTGAAACTCTGAGAGCGATAGCGAGAAGCATGAGCGAGAGTGGCTGACTGCCTTCTCGACAGTGTGACAGACTGAGAACAGACCTCATGCATTCTTTGGCCGCTCATTTACTGTGAACACATGTCTTTATTTTTATATATTCCAGCTGAAAGGGCTGTTTGCATCTCAGAAAACTGCCACTGGCCACAACCAAAGGTTACAGTTCGTTTTACTAGAATTTCCAGAGCATCACTGCACGTGAGCTCTCAGTGTTACCCAGCCACATCAAGCCCCTCAGCAGAGTATTTCAGTCATGAACACTGAACAAGGAACATTTTGACAATTTATTGAAAAGAGCTATGAATAGTATTAAAAGTGTGAAAAAAGAGGACATTTTACTTTGTGCTGGGCACAATTTAAGCACTTCTCTTCGTTGTTATATTTTAACTTCTAGAACTTGCCTCCATATTTTCCCTATGTGCAGCGTTATTTACAATACTATTTTGTATTTTCCACTTTATTTATTTTTTTTAAGATCTTAATTTTTTTCCTTTTTCTCCCCAAAGCCCCTGGGTACATAGTTGTATATTCTTCTTTGTGGGTCCTACTAGTTGTGGCATGTGGGACACTGCCTCAGTGTGGTTTGATGAGCAGTGCCATGTCCACACCCAGGATTCGAACCAACGAAACCGCCACCTGCAGCGGAGTGCGCGAACTTAACCATTCGGCCTTGGGGCCAACCCCTCCACTTTAAAATAGAAAACATTTTCTGTGCTCTTACAGGATATCAAATTTAATTTTTAGGAGCTGCATAGTATTTTTTCATGTTAATCTACTATAGTTTACTAAATCATTGTATTGTCTTTATTTTTTTATATAATTTGAGAACAATATATTTAAAGAAATAAAACTCTTAGGATATAGTTTAATATCCTTCTTGCTAATTCTTAATCATTTCTTATCAACTTACCCTTAAAAGATAGCTTGAAGTTAAATGCCTCTCTGGTGGTTTGTCATTGGATAAACAAGGGATTGGGCCCCTGTTTTTCTTTGAGCATCCAACATCCTAACCCAGCTACCCATGGGTAGTCTGTAACCTTGGATCTACCTCAGCCATTTAAGCTTATCCAGGGGAATGCTTTAGTTGCCTTTTTTTTTTTTTTTCGGTGAGGGAGATTGGCCCTAAGCTAACATCTGTGCCAGTCTTCCTCTATTTTGTATGTGGGACACTGCCACAGCATTGCTTGATGAGCGGTGTGTAGGTCCGTGCCCAGGAAACCTGTGAACCCTGGGCTGCCAAAGCAGAGCATGTGAACTTAACCGCTACACCACAGGGCTGGCCCCTAGTTTGCCATTTTTTAAGATATGATTTACATACTATAAAGTTGACCCATTTAAAGTGTACTAGTTTGCCTTTTTAATCTCTGCTTTCTGAGCTCCCTGTCTTTCTCCACATGTCATGGAGAAAGAAAACTAGTAAGTAGAGGATCTTGCCACAGAAAATCAGAGTGTTCTCTCCAAATGGTAAATGGCACTTACCCATTTTATTTCCTAGTGTTTTTCTTCCTAACGCTTATTTAATGGCATTATTTGGCATCAGCTGTGACTCGAGTTTCATAAAATACATGTTTACTTCCCTAGCTTTGTGTTGATGGCAACAGCTTGAGAGAGTGGTTTATGGTCATCAGAAATACTTTTTGAAAGTTATTTTCTGTGAAGGCCTGTGTTCCTTACATTGAACAGAATGCTTTGAACAAAGTTTAAATCATGTTCAGAAGAGAGGTTTAGAGTGATTTTTTTCCATAAATTCATACACATTTACAAAATATCTATTTCTAGTCCTCATTTAGTGGCAAAAAAAAAAAAACCCCAGCAACAATTAAAAACAGAGCCAATGAATAAATAAGTAAACAGGCAAATGAACCAAAAGAGGACCTGAAGTTAGGTTGGAGGAGGGGTGGGAATGGGAAATGTTGGGCCAAGGCTATGACTTCCAGTTATAAGAGTAACAAGTTCGGGGCCACTAATGGACAGCAGGGTGATAGCTAACAATACTGTGTTATATACTTGAAAGTTACTAGGAGAGTAGATCTTAACTGTTCTCACCATAGAAAAACAATGGTAATTACATGACGTGATGGAGTGGTGGGTAAGGCTATGGTGATAATCATTTTGCAGTATGTAAGTGTATCAGATAACATGTGCACCTTATATTTACACAATATTATATGTCAATCATATGTCAAGCTTGGGGGGAAGTTAGATTGGAGGGGATCTTTGCACAAGAGGATTAAATACTGAAGTTAGGGACACAAATTATTTTTGTGGACATTTCAACCTTGTACAGGCTGGTGGGCCTCTCAAGTCTCTCTACTAGAAAATTCCCATGATCTCATTTCAGAGAAAGTACAGGCTGACTTGACAGGACTGGTAAGTTTTATTGATGACACATCTTGTCGTTAAACAGTGTGAGGGTTAATTAACATCTGCTTAGTAGGCGCTCGGTAAAAGTTGATGAAGGTTAGTGAAGGTGGACATATGGAAATAGCTCTGCCTCCTCTCTTTGTCCCTATTATTGACTCGAAATGAATACCACAGTCTGGTTAGAAAATATTTTGATCCTAAAGGTTTTTTTACAGCTGATCATGTAAACTTACATTTGGGTAATTTTATCATGGTATCTTATACTTGATTGTTCTTTTAGCTACTCCCTTCAGCAAGCTCAAGCTTTTTATACATTTCCATTTCAACAAATGATGGCTGAAGCTCCTAATATGGCAGTAATGAATGAACAGCAAATGCCAGCAGAAGTTCCAGCCGCAGCTGCTGCTCAGGAACCCGTACAAGGTAGTGTTCGCCAGGATAGGTTAGAAAATTAGCTATTAGATTAGCCAACGTATTTAAGAAAGGATTTAATGATGAATTTTAGCTCTATTTTAGTGTTTAAAATTTAATCCACTTTTTAAGTACTTAGTCTGTGCCAGGCACTGTGGTAGGTTTTGGGGAATAAAAGAACATGGATCCTGCCCTTGAATATTTCATAATCTAGTAGAGGAAAATAAGTCGACACGCATTATGCCTCAGCACACTGGGCCGTGAAGAGGGTGCAGGATGCTGTGAGAGTTCACGGGGTTGGCGCCTAACTCACACTGAGGCTCAGAGGCAGCTTCCCAGAGCTCTGAAACTCAAGAGTGAGGAGACTTTAGGAGAACAGGATGGGGAAGATTCCAGGCCAAGGGATTGGCTTGCACCAAAGCACAGACATGAAGAAGCATGACAGTTAAAGCACTGAGTGGTTCCGTGTCATTGGAGTCTGGGGTGGAGCACAGGAATGGTGAGAGATGAGGCCAGGTGGGGGCAGTTGAGGCTTGTTTAACCTAAAGAATGTATATTCTGTCCTGAAGGAAACAGGGAGCTCTTGAGAGAATATAGGCAGAGGGTTACTTAAATAGATGGACATTTGAAAAATCAGTCTGGAAATATAATAGAGGCTAGATTGGATGGTAGAGAGCAAGGCAGAACTCGGAGGCAAGGAGTGGATTAGAGACTGTTTGAATAATCTGGGGAAAAATGAAGAGGACCTGAAGAGGTGGAGAAGGACAGAATTAGGAAATACTCAGGAGGTAAAATTACCTGGCCATGGTTAATAGATTTCATGTGGGGGAAGAGGGAGAAAGAGGAATCTGGAAGTAACTCCCAGGCTGTTGGATGAAGGAGGTACAGTTCACCAAGACAGAGAATTAGAAGAGAAGAGAATAGAGTTGGGGGTTGGGGGTTCGGGGGTGGAGAGAAGGTAATGATTTTCTCCATCGTAGCAGTATTGGATGAGAAATGTGCCCGGAGTTTCGGTTTATGAGTCCAGGAACACATCTAACTCCACTGCATTGGAGGACCCCTGCCCTTATCTCCTGTTTTTCTGGGCAGGGAGCACTAGGATGTCCCCAGCTACAAGCCAGTGGAGGTGGGTTCCTTGGCCTAGGGAGAGGCTAATGCTGTGTGAGATAGAAGAGAGGAAGGATGGGAGGCTCAGGTGGGGAAAGGCCAAATAGCAGTAGAATGGGGTAGGGGCCTGAGAAATTGAGAGATGTTAACGAGTTAAGGGTGAGGAATCCAAGGCTTTCTGGTGGGTAACTTCCTCTTGGGCAACTTTAGGTCAGCAATTCTTGACCTGAGGTGATTTTGCCCCAAGGGACATTAGGCAGTATCAAGAGACCCTTGATGTGTTGATTGTCATGACTGGCAGGATACTACTGGCATCTGGTGGATAGAGACCAGGGTTCCTGTTAAACCTTCTATAATGCACAGGACAGACCCCACAACCAAAAATTATTCAGCCTAAGATGTCAGTAGTGCCAAGATTGAGAAACTGCTTTAGATCCTGAGATCGGATTCCTCGTCTTGCCTTTTGAAAAATACTGCCAGCCCAGAGAGTTCATCCTTAGCAACCTCTAAATTCACCTCCTTGGCTGTGTTTGGAACAGAATGTACGCTCAATCTCCAGAACAAGCCAACAAACCAGTGGAAGTTTTCTACTGCCGGAAATTATGGGGAAATTAAGTTACAATGTTTCCCTTCCTCCCTATTTTTCTATCTATTCTTTCATTTGTTTACTTAATTATTTATATATTTACATTTAGAATTCCTATAAAATGGTACATAGATACTTTATCCCTAGGGAGGCCGGAATGCCAGGTAAGAGTGTGTGGAAAATCAATCTATGATGATTATGGATATTTCATCCCAAGGACAGCCAGCAGAGGGTGGGGGTGAGGCCACATGAACGATTTCTAGGATGAAGGAAGGGGAAGATACTGCAGACGAGACTGATGTTGGGACATAGAAGAGAAAGGTAAAAAGGATGTTGAAAGGGTGGCTTTTTGGGGGAAAGCTGCCTAAAGTTTGTAAGTTATGGTTTTCTGCACCTACATCCATTGTGTTTCAGAGACTCCAAAAGGAAGGAAAAGAAAACCCAGAACAACAGAACCAAAAAAACCAGCGGAACCCAAAAAACCTGCTGAGACCAAAAAATCTGGGAAGTCCACAAAATCAAAAGAAAAGCAAGAAAAAATAACAGACACGTTTAAAGTGAAACGAAAAGTAGACCGTTTTAATGGTGTTTCAGAAGCTGAACTTTTGACCAAGACTCTCCCAGACATTTTGACCTTCAATCTGGACATTGTGATTGTAAGGATTTTTGTCCTCATTTGGTTTTATAAGTAGTATTGATGGATGAACTTTACTTCACCTTTATCCTTGCAAATAGCATTTTGCTGAAAAAGTCCATTTCTAAGAATCCTTTTGGTAGCAAATAGTGTCACCTTCATGAGGTTGTGTTATGTAGGTGTTTTCAGGAAGGGGGGCTGTCTGGTTTCAAATCCTGCCAAGTCGATGTGACCTTGGACAAACCTTAACCTTCCTAAACAGCAGTTTCCTCCTTGGTGAAACGGGTGGTAATAGTACCTGCCTCATACGGTTGCAATTAAATAAAATAGTCCATAGATTGCATGCCACCTGGGAGTTCTCCATAGATGATGACACTGATTTTGAACTTTGGTTTTTGTCTGTAACTATAAGAGACATCAGCATGCAGACAGCTGTGTAGATGATGTGGAGTAAGCTGCTCGCTGAGTCAAGAAGCCAACTTGTGGCTGGACCTGGGCTCAGACTGATGGACTGCCCCAGGACCTCTCTCTCTCCAGCAAAGGTGGCTGGAGGTAGGGGCCTGGGCACATGAGGGAGTCAAACTCGTTTTTAAAAACAAGAGGAAAACTTTTTCTTTTTTTTAAAGGTTGGCCCCCCGCCCCAGGCTAACAACTGTTGCCAATCTTCCTTTTTTTCTTTTAAGGATTGGCACGTGGGCTAACAACTGTTGCCAATCTTTTTTTTTTTTCTGCTTTATTTCCCAAACCTCCCCCCCCACCCCACCCCCCCGCCCACATAGTTGTATATCTTAGTTGCAGGTCCTTCTAGTTGTGGAATGAGGGACGCCGCCTCACCATGGCCTGACGAGCGGTGCCATGTCAGAGCCCAGGCTCTGAAACCTGGGCCGCCCCAGCAGAGCGCGCAAACTTAACCACTCGGCCATGGAGCAGGCCCCAAGAGCAAAACTTTTGATATAAAGGATATTTCTCTCCTCAAAATGGGGTACTTGGTTCAGATCACGAGTACCTAATCGATAAACAGTATTGCTTATGGTGCTGGATTAAATTGTTATTTTAATAAATTCAGTTTTGTCCACCACTCCTCCACAGAAACCTTAAGTCTTAAAGCCTTCTTTTCAAGACTGAAATGTGTAAACATTTTGTTTTATAGATTGGCATAAACCCAGGACTAATGGCTGCTTACAAAGGTCATCATTACCCTGGACCTGGAAACCATTTTTGTAAGTGGGTGCTGTTTTTATTTTGCTTTTAAACTAGATAGTCTCTTCTAATAGTTTGGGGGATTTTTTTTTAACCAAATTGTGTTTTAAAAAGAGTCTATATTTTCTGTGTGTGTGTGTGTGTGTGTCTACACAAAAGGTTTGAAATGATGCGTCGCTGTTAACATTTTGTGTATGAGAGTGGAGGGACTTAAAAAGGACTGCTTTTCTTTTGCTTGAATTGTTTCAGATGAGCAGTAGTACTTTCTTTCAATGATTTTCTTTTACTTGTTATGTACAGACATAGTAACAATAGTACATTGTTGTGCCAGTGTAGACAAAATACGGACCTCTCCAGATTTCTTCTCATCTTATTTCCTAGAAGAGATAAAATGCGTTGATCACTGGCAACTAAGTTGTAATAGTTAAGAAATGCTGTGATTGGAAACATTCTTAACAGACACTTCATATCTAGCAGAAAATAGTATTAAAGACCCTCATGCTTGTAAAGTGAGCTTTAGAACCAAGTAAAGCTACTGTCTCGTTGTCCTCTGTACAAGTCATCTTACCTCACACTGCCTGTTAGAACAAGGCATACAGTAGGCCCTCAGGAAATAGTAGTTAATTATCTAAGAGTAACATTGAACACATTTAGGGCAAATGACAGTAGACTGTTTTTGGAACTAATGACAGTGTCTCCATTATTTAAAAAAAATTTCTGGAGAAGTTTGAACTTTTCATTTCCTCCATTGTCGGGATGTTTGAATGCTCCGAGTCCACTGGTGAATGTTTATCTGTTTGAGGGATTCCAGGGGCAGGTGGTGGGGTCACCAGTTATTAGAGAGGAAAACAAACGGTTTCACGGTTTCCCGCATTGACTAGCTGTGTATTCTTGACAGGCATTTACCTTAACCTCCTGAGGAGAGGAGATAAGAATAGTGATGTCTCATAAGGTAGTTAGGATGATTAATGAGACAGTCCATGCAAGGGGCCGCAGTACTCAGCACATAGGTCAAATAGCATAGCAAACAATTACTATGTTACAATTTTTTAAATATCCTAAATCTTCTTTTTTTTCAATTTCAAGAATAGATTGTAATTCATGGAGCAAAGACCTTTGACCTATGGAAATAAACTGAACTCTCTTGTCACAGGGAAGTGTCTGTTTATGTCAGGGCTGAGTGAGGTCCAACTGAACCATATGGATGACCACACTTTACCAGGGAGGTATGGTATTGGGTTTACCAATATGGTGGAAAGGACAACACCAGGCAGCAAGGATCTTTCCAGGTAATTACGTAACATTTATCTTTATAGGTGGGAACCTCGACCGTGCCGGCGCCTCATATACTCTATGAACACCATGTGTATCTAGTGCCAGCCGAGCTTAACAAATACATGGATAGATCTTTTATTGAAAGCTATCTGAATTTAGCATAAGTATTGCCATTCTTATATTGTGATACTTTTCAATTCGATTTTAGTAAAGAATTTCGTGAAGGAGGACGTATTCTAGTGGAGAAATTACAGAAGTATCAACCACGAATAGCAGTGTTTAATGGAAAATGTAAGATTTACTTCTAAATTTTATCTTTTTTCTTTGCTAACAGTATGGGCAATGTCAATATGTTTATATTTTATTTTAGGTATTTATGAAATTTTTAGTAAAGAAGTTTTTGGAATAAAGGTTAAGAACTTAGAATTTGGACTTCAACCCCATAAGATCCCAGACACAGAAACTGTAAGTCCTTAAAATTACATTTGTAAATCAGCTAAATATGAATTTTTTTTTAGTTTCTCTTTTATTTGTCCTATCCCTTGTGATTTATGCCATAAAAAAACCACACTGTATTTTGTTGAATGCTATCTATATATCAATTTGAACTAATAGTTGCAAATTAATTCAGATACTGTTACAGTTTTATTAGAAAAAGAAACATTTGTCAGATGTTTTAATGATACGTTATTTGGGTAAAATACTGAGAGAAGCTGGCTCACATACTAGTTTCAAAATATACTTAATGGCATATGCTTGTCAGATTCCAGGGGGGTTAGCCCTTGTTCAGTTGTATAAATACATATATATTTACATATGTACATAAATAGAGACATGATCCCAATTAGTAACACTGCTAATTACCCCGTTTCCATATCTTAGCCCAGTTTCGCTTTAAAGCCATATAAATATTGCAGCCCAGCTGCAGACAGGCATCCGACCTGACCAGCACTTGGTTCAAGTGTCTAGACATAAAGGCATCATGGAGGAGCAGGGTGTTCAACTCTGTCATTTCTGCAGACATTTGGTTCGAATTTTGCCTCTTAAATATAGTTTTAAGTTTTGTTTACAACTTTTTAAAAAACAACACACACGCAGACACCCATGTGTTACAGACAACATTTTTTTTTAAGATTTTATTTTTCCTTTTTCTCCCCAAAGCCCCCCAGTACATAGTTGTATATATTTTTAGTTGTGGGTCCTTCTAGGTGTGGCATGTGGGATGCCACCTCAGCATGGCTTGATGAGCAGCGTCACGTCCGCGCCTAGGATCCAAACAACCGAAACCCTGGGCCACTGGAACGGAGTGTACAGACTTAACCACTCGGCCACGGGCCGGCCCCTACAGACAGCATTTTAAATGATGGAGAAGCTATTGTGCCGACAGGTTTTTGTGGAGACCTCAGTATAAAGTTTCTGCTACCTACATACGTTTCAACTTCTTTTTAAATTTCTTCTGTTTTTAACTTCTTATAAATATGTGGTTGATAAAGTAGGTTGTAGCCTAGTCTTGAAATTCAGGCCCACCTTTGTCTGCTTGAGTAAAACTGTGTGGGTGAGTTCAGTGCCTCCTGTAGACAACTGCGTTATTGTCCCTGAAATGCCGGATGGGGCTCAGGTGCCTCCCTCGGATATACGTGATCACAGCACAATCATAAATGAACTTGAATCATGTCATGACGGGTCGTGTTAGCTCTTAGAATGAGCCGTGAGTGCTTTTATCTTTTAAAATTTATTCTTTGTCATGAAGTATTCACAGTTATTGATGTTAGTGATTCAACTTTGAACCAAAAATCTACTTTTTTAAGTTTCTAGATCACTTTAATTGAAGAATATCTTGAGATTGGAAAATGTGCGATTACAAAACCTGGTAGCATTTGCACCTGCCTATCTTTATGAATCAGGATTTTCTACATGCTGCATAAACAAAATAAAATAAATATATAATATATATTTTTCTGTAATACATGGTATGGAGGCCAACTTAAAAATTGCAACTAGGGGGCTGGCCCGGTGGCGCAGCGGTTAAGTGCACGCATTCCGCTTCGGCGGCCTGGCGTTCATGGGTTTGGATCCTGGGTGCAGACATGGCACTGCTTGGCACACCATGCTGTGGTAGGCGTCCCACGTATAAAGTAGAGGAAGATGGGCATGGTTGTTAGCTCAGGGCCAGTCTTCCTCAGCAAAAAGAGGAGGATTGGCAGCAGTTAGCTCAGGGCTAATCTTCCTCAAAAAAAAAAAAAAAAAATTGCAACTGGAAATCCCATTTTTTGTTACGCTCTATGAAGGACAGTTTGTCGCCATCATCCAAAATGATAATTGCAAATGTCTTTTTCCTTAGCCATTCCACTTCTAGGAATTTATCCAACAGATCTGCTCACGCATATTCGAAGTTTTATAAATGTAAGGTTTTTCACTACAGCTTATAATATTAAAAGATTGGCAACAACCTAAATGCCCATAGTTGGGTTCTGGTTAAATAAATATGACAATGTTACACAGCTATAAAAAAGGAAGTTCCTTTTACTCTGATTTAGATATCTGATGCAGAATTAAAAGCAAGCTGCCGGATAGGGAATAGACCATGTTATCCTTTGTGTGTTTTTAAAGGGGTGGGGAAGAGTACATTTATCAGACACATCTGATTGTATATTCATGGAATACCTCTGGAACTAGCAACCGTGATTGCCCTTGGGGAAGAGAACTAGGTGCATAGAGACAGAATTGGGAGGGGAGACTTTTTGTTTATACTTATATGCCTTTTGTACCTTTTGAATCGTGAATACTTACTGTTAAAAAGAAAAGACTGTTAATTGATACATGAACATCCGGGGAGGGGGAGCCTCATTGTTTTTGATTTTATGACTTTGTAGTAAGTAAATATTACAAATTTGAACTCAAACATAACTACTTTTGTCGGTTTGGCATATATTGATATGTGATAAGCATCAAGTTATGAACCCAAAGAAAGATAAATTTTCTAATCTCAATATGAGTGGATTCAATAGCATTGTAAGATTTCTGTAACTATAAAATTTTCTGATTCCAGCTCTGCTATGTTATGCCATCATCCAGTGCAAGATGTGCTCAGTTTCCTCGAGCCCAGGATAAAGTTCATTACTACATCAAGCTCAAGGACTTGAGGGATCAGTTGAAGGGCATTGAACGAAACACAGACGTTCAAGAGGTGCAATATACATTTGACCTACAGATGGCCCAAGGTACGTTACCATTATCACTCGTTTTACTCATTTCATGTATATATTACATGATAATATATAGTATATATGTACTCTTAATATATATAACAGAAAGTATGTTGTGGATTTAAAAGCAGGAGGAAAGAAAACAATTACATTTGCAGTCAGAGTGCTCTGATAATGGATATTAGTCACTGTTAAAATCTCCTACCAAGGTCTTCTGTCTACTCTGGATACTCCCACAGATGTTGAGGGTATAAGAAACAGTAGCCAACCTAAAATTAAATCTAGTAGGCTTTTACAGTTCTTGTGAGCTAATTTAGTGTATGTTACAAAGAGTTTAAAAGATTATAGTAAAAGGTATATCTCAGTATATATGAACATTCAAGAAAATGATTTGTTCTGATGATTTCTGAATAAAGCTATTTTCAAAATTGTTGTACAAAATCAGTTTTAAATTCCTTTTACCCTCCTCACAGAGGATGCAAAGAAGATGGCTGTTAAGGAAGAAAAATATGACCCGGGTTATGAAGCAGCGTATGGCGGTGCTTACAATGACAATCTGTGCAACAGTGAACCTTGCAGCTTCTCTTCAAATGGGCCAAGTATGTTCCCCTTCATATGTTTGTTCCTTGCAAAGACTTGGTTTTGTCAGGATTGAGAAAAAAAGTTTTTGTAAAGAGAGGATATTATTGAAAAATGGGAATTGGAATGTAAAAATCTGTTTAGGGGCTGGCCTGGTTGCGTAGTGGTTAAGTTCGCACACTCCACTTCAGTGGCCTGGGGTTCATGGGTTTGGATCCTGGGTGCAGACCTACACACTGCTTGTCAAGCCATGCTGTGGCAGCATCCCTGGTACAAAAAGTAGAGGAAGACTGGCATAGATGTTAGCTCAGGGCCAATCTTCCTCACCAAAAGAGGAAATCTGTTTAGTGACTTTCAGTGAAAATTTGGTAGTTATTTAAGGTTTAACTACACAAACTCTTACAGCTCATTTTCTTTAAGTGACTGACTCTAAGTCATCCTAGTTGCATTTTCCTCCTTCAATAACAAGTGAGGATTTATCAGCCCTGGATTTGAAAACAGAACAGACACTTATCATTGTACTCAAGAAGCTTCCTTAACTATTTTATTAACCGTTCTTCACTGGACTGTTAAAATCTCCTGATTTTGATCATTGAAAGCTTTTAAATAGTATAAACTAATCTTCTTTTCCCGCCAGCAGCTGATAATGGAGAATCAACTTTCAGTGACGTTCCAAATGGGCCGTGGATGACCCAGTCGTTTACAGACCAGATTCCTTCCTTTCATAATCATTGTGGGATGCAAGAACAGGAAGAAGGAAGCCATGCTTAAGAAGGGTGCTCAGCTCTGCTTCAAGGCTGCAGTTTTAATGCAGCTGTGAAGAAGAGTCCCTCGGCGTGCTAACTAAAGTACTTTATTACTGTTTTACTCTGGTGATGTAATCAGTACAGTTGTGTGGTAGAATCAACTGTACAAACCTAAGTAGTTTGGAAGGAAAAAGTAGGGTTTTTTTTGGTATATGAGTTTTTGTAGTTGAATTAACCATCATTCCAGCTTTTTATAAACTGTTTCATGTATGAAGAAATTGACTTTCTTTTGGGTATCACTTTTAATCTGTAATTTTAAAATGCAACAGTCTAAATATTTATACTTGATTGCTAACTGTGCGTAAACCTAGATAACAACGTTATCCCTTTTATGCCTAAGAAGCGCATGCTAATAAGCATTAGCACGGGTGCAGAGGCAGCTGTGCTGATGTTCGTGTCTGAAGTTAACCCTCCGTGGAGCCTCATTGGGTCGTTTTTGGCAGGTTTGATGGGCTCCCTGAGTGGCAGTCACACTCTGACCTCTTTGCTTTACCAGTGGGGAGCCTTTAGGAGATTCTTAGCGGCAGAAACGTAGAGTGTGGCCCTGCAGCTGCAAGGCCAGCCCGGCCTGTCCTGACAGGACATGGAGCCTGGCTTTGGCCTCCCTCCCCCGTGTGTTAGTCCTCTCGTAGGCAGAAACTATTCTACGAGGATGGTAAGTTCCAGAGAACGCAGTAGACGTTTTAAATTTTGTTCCTTCATCTCTGTTTTACTTGAGAGACATAACGGTTGACAGCGAAGGAACTGCATGTCCCTCTCAATAGCTGTCACCGTTCTGATTTTATCCTCTGTGGCTTTAAGAATCTATCATGGAAAGTGATGAGAAATGAACTTCCAGGCTGAGCAACAAGATGCTGGAGGTGTTTGATAATCTTACTTAAACTGGTGCTCTATGTACATGAGATGTACTAAAATAAGTAATACAGAGTTTTTCTTACTAGGTAAATCTAATAAGCCAGTAATTGAAAAAGTTCTTTGCTGCATCATTGCTGTTTGTTACTGTGGACTAAATGAACCTCACGGCAAGGCTGGTCTGAAGAAATGCACCTTTGTGGTTTTCTAATGCATTTTCCATGGTGCTAGAGAGTCCAGACTATTAGGCCTGGTGGATTTTAAAGCTGGGTACTCGGAAATGCCCTTTGCATTTACTCCTGATCACTTCTGAATATTCTGATTTCATACATACCCAGGGAGCATGCTGTTTTTCAATATGAAAATATTTATGAGGTTTTTTTTCTTTTCTAAGCGGTCACATGGCTTGTTCTCTTTATAATAAGAGAAATTCTTGTGTGAATGTGAACATGCTTTTTAGTTGTGGCTGTGATGGGTTTTCTTTTTCCTTTAGTCTAGGTCAAGCTGTGTAAGTCCTTCATGTTATTTAAGTCACGTACTGTACTGCTGTTTACATGGATGTTTTATGCGGGTGCTTTGAAGTGCCTTGCATCAGGGATTAGGAGCAATTGAATTATTTTTTCATGGGACTATGTAAAGCATGTAACTAGGTATTGTTTTGGTATATAACAATTATAGCCTTAAAATAGATTTTTTTTTGAGTGGAGAAAATACCCTTTAAATTATGATGGACTCTCACTGGAGAATGGGTTTGAGGATTTTCCAAGTATACAATAATGATGTTTTTCATTAAATATGACAGATGAGTAGTAAATGTTGATATATCCTATATGTGACAATATGAGACTTTTTCATTAAATAATATTGAAAAAGTTTTTAAATTCTTTTGAAAGTCTGATGGTTTTTACAATAAAAAATATTAAGAATGATTATCGTTAAGTTGCAGATTTTCTGTAGCAAGACTTCCTGGCATTCTTTCCCCCTTTAAACCTGAGATCAATTTACCTCCTAATATATTTAACATGTAGAATAATATATATAATGAAAATGATTAAAAAATCTATGAATATTTTATTTTTTCAGGCATCCGTGTTTTAAATGTAACATATTCTACAAAAGGCAAGATTGGTAACCTGTTAAAAAATACTACATGTGAAAAATACATTTAGAAATTTTAAAAATCTGTGGATACAACTGCCATTCAGAGTTAAGCACATTGACTGCTGAAACCTAGCTGGGTTTCTTTCTTTCCAGCAATATGTTTCACTCACGTAACCTTCATTTCCATAATTACCCCTTGTACTTAAGGAAGTAACGCAATACCCATGTGATCCCAAGTACTATTTGCACACAGTAGTTTTTGGGTTTTATGTTGTGGATCGTATGGTTCAAAGGTACTGTTCATAAAGAACGGTGTTATAGTAGGCTGCAAATGGACAATTCCACATCTTTATACAGGAAATATTTCAGATGTCGAGTTCTATCAGCTGTTGTGGTGATGGAGGGTAAATATCCCTGCAGGGTCAGGAACAAACCAGCTTTCCCATAAGTCGTTGTGAACACTAGGGAAGTCCCAAGGCTTGTGTCTTCCATTCCAGTGGAGTAATTTTGCTTCCTGCAGAAAATGCTCCGAATATCTGGTATCTGGATTCCAGCCTTCATTGCATTTAGAGGAAAATAATAGGCTTGTTAGAAAATAAAATTTTTATATTAAAAATGGAATACAAGTTCATTGTAAAAAAACAAAAATCAAAGGGTACACAATGAGGAATTTACACCCCCTTAAATCTCCAAATAACCACTCGTAAAGAGTGTCTCAGGAAATCCTTCAGTGACGTTCTACTTGTATGTATGTATATGTATATGTGTATATATCTTTTGTACTTTGCCTTTTAAAATTACTGTCTTAGGGAACTTTCCACAGTAGCACATGTGGATTTATTGAATTACTTTTAATGACTACATAGAGTGGACATATGATGATTTATTAACTGTCCTTCTTAAGGACAGTTAGGTTGTTCCTGTCCCTTCACTAGCATAAACAAGGCTACAATGAGCAGTCTTCTCTGCACGTCTTGTGCATGTATACAAATATATCTGCAGGATAAAATCTTGTAGGGGAAACTGCTAGATTGAAAGGCGCATGCCTTTTACATTTTGATAAGAGATTGCCAAATTGTCCCCAAAAGCACTTGCATCAGTTTCCCTCCCACACGGAGTTTATAAAAGTTCTTGTTTCTCTACATTTTCCCTCCTTAATATGGCAACATTTTCTTTTAAGTGGTCTTATTTATACCATATGAAATGCAACTAAGAATAAGATCTACTTTTTAACAAACAACCGTCTCCATTTGAATATTATTCCCCTCATAAGTAGTCACTTAGAGACTGTGCATTTACCCTAATATTGTCATTGCTTAGAATATTTTTAGAATATCTCTTCCAGAAGTACATTAAGAGCTTGTGAATGTAAGTCTTTTTTTTAATAACCTGTATGGTGTTAAATTTTCTTTCTATTAAAGGGAATTTGATATTTTTAAAAAAACAATCGAAAGTCCATCGAGTAAAAAGAGGGGTGAATAGCTAGAGTTATGTTATTCTAGTTTAACCTATGATGTAAGAAAGAAACAACCAAAAACCCTGTCTTCTGTTACTCATAATAAACATAACTGTGAAGGCGGCTGCAGAAGAAGAGCTAGGTGTTTTGAGGCAATCGGAGCTTAACTGAATAATTATCAGCTTCCACAGAATCTCTGCAAAGGAGGTGCCTTCACATGAGCAGACCCCACTAAGTCGGACATCGTCTCTCGGCTCCGTGACTGAGGGCTCTGTAGGGACTTGCAGTTTGCTTTTAGCTAAGTGTGTTTCATAAATTTTTAAAATCTTAAGCCTAGCTGCTTAGACCCAAATTTCATACCCATTATTGTTACATTGCTTTCTGCTTCCAAAACCGAATCATTTTTCAAATGATTTCTGTGTAGATTTGCTTTGCAGACCGTCCCTGATTCAAAACCGTCAGCACAGATATTAGCCCTGTTCTACGAAGAAAAATGACTTCTTCCCCTTGGGAAGGTTCTGCCCCTCCCTGCTTGTCAATAAGTTAGGTGTTTCATAAAATGTAGTTCTCAGTCTCTGTTCCAAGATCATAAAATGTTCTAACCTTACCGATCTCAGCTCCTCAGAGCTGTTCCTACACATTTTTTATAGATATTCTACTTTGATAGGATTTTCTGCACATTCATTACATGGAAATGTTGATATTTGACCTAACAGTGAACCCAACATTATTATAAATCTATTCAGATGGAACACTAGTGTCCTTGACTTCCCTGTGTCACTCTTATGTGCACACAGATACTCGGGAAAATCAGGGAAGATTCAGGTAATGAGGCAGAAGCAAATCTATACAGAATCATTCAGAGGAGACCAGAATCCAGCTTCCACAGTCTTGTCTGTCTTTTATTTTGAAAGAGAGAGTAAGGGCCATCCCACCTTGCAGGGTTGTTCTAAGAATCAGAAATAAGGTTCATCTTTGTCACCAGAACCTAGCCCAGTTCTTGGCAATGGAGTGGACACCTGGTAAATATGTCTCCAATTCTAAAATAATCTCAAAATGTCTGAAAACGAAAGGATTTTTAATAACTTCTTTGGCAGTAAAACCTAGGTCCCAGTCGGGGTACCGTATAACAAGTATAACACGTTACCATTTTAAAATTCAAAACCTTTCTAAATCTTTTTTTTTTTTTTTTTTAAGATTGGCACCTGAGCTAACAACTGTTGCCAGCCTTGTTTTTTTTTTCTCTGCTTTATCTCCCCGAATCCCCCCGGTACATAGTTGTATATCTTAGTTGCAGGGCCTTCTAGTTGTGGCATGTGGGATGCTGCCCCAACGTGGCTTGATGAGCAGTGCCATGTCGGCGCCCAAGATCCAAACCGGTGAAACCCTGGGCCGCCGCAGCAGAGCACACGAACTTAACCACTCGGCCACGGGGCCGGCGCCCCCTCTAAATTTCTAAACAGGTCTGGCCAACTTGTTTTAGCTAATGGATTGTGGCCATGTGTCTGAATGAATGTCAGTGTCTCCTGTGCCAGGCTCAGTTCTAAGAAATTTACATGTATAGGTAATTTATTCCTTATAAAAACTTTGTAAGGTTCTACTAGCTCAGTTTACAAATGAAGAAACTAAGGCACAGAGAGGTCAAGTAACTTGCCCAAGATCATAGGTAATAGCAGAGTTGGGATTGTGATCCATACCCTAGAGCCTGCCCTCCTGTAGTGAAGAGTGAATAAAAGACTGCCACGGGACTCATGTAGTGAGCAGTCAGTAAACAACTTCCTTTTAAAAGATAAATTGCCAGCTGTCCAAATTTCGTCATAAGCCATTATGCTAATTCATTTGGTTTTGTCCACTGTAGGCTGCTGCAAGAGGGCAGTAAAGGCACGTGAAGAAGTTTTGACAGTGAAATTTCCGTCTTAACAATAGTTAATATTTATCGAGCACATACTGTATGCTAAGCCTGAGTCTAAGGGCTTTTCATGAATTTCTAGAAACATGCCCCTCAGGTAGGCATTTTTATCCATTGCATTTGCAGAATCTGAACACTGAGGGTTAAATAACGTGTCCAAGGTCACCTGGAGGATTTCAATTGAACCTGGTGCTCCAGCACACTGTCCTCACCTTAGCCCTCGCTGGGTCCATAAAATGCACATTTGCGTTGTTTTTCTGAAATACTCACCCAGGTGCCTTATGTGCCACAGGGGGTTGATGGTCGAGTATTTCCCGTGGAACACAATCAGCATTGGGGAGGTGGCCACCCCTCCTCCCAGGGAGCTGCTGTAGAGATTTTCCCTAAGAAATGGAATAGGAAAGCAACACTCGGTCTGGAGCCCCACAGACTGGGATAAAGTCGAATCTAAAAGTTTTAAAAGATGCAAGACAGTCGCACTATATAATAAGACTATAGTCTTTCATTTTCCCCAACTTTTTATTTTGAAAGTTGTCAAACCTCCACAGAATTGTCAGAACACCATGAACTCCCGTGTTTTGCCTAGACTCACAGGGTTGGCATTTTGCCATTTTAATTCTCAGCCTTTTTTTTTTTTTTTTAAAGATTTTATTTTTTTTCCTTTTTCTCCCCAAAGCCCCCAGGTACATAGTTGCATATTCTTCGTTGTGGGTCCTTCTAGTTGTGGCACGTGGGACGCTGCCTCAGCGTGGCTTGATGAGCAGTGCCATGTCCGCGCCCAGGATTCGAACTGACGAAACACTGGGCCGCCTGCAGCGGAGCGCGTGAACTTAACCACTCGGCCACGGGGCCAGCCCCCAATTCTCAGCCTTTTTTATGGCAAACATAAGAAGATCAAACTCGGATCCTACATTATTTAGAGTAACTTTACTTAAAAATTCAAGTTATGATGGTATTAAAAAATATCCAGATAAAAAAAGATGGGTGGGAAATGCAATGACATGATAATAGTGGTTGTGTTAATTTCTATTTTCTCTATTTTAAAACTTTGATAATGAAAAATGATAAGTTATTTAAAATTCAACCTTAAAAGACAAAGTTGACTTTTTAAAATAATCCTTAGAAACAAATCTATACAAGAAGGAGAAACTCGACTAAGATAAATGATTTTCAGTAGGAAAGGCTCACTAGCATTCTGGGAGTTTTAAAGTCAAATTATTAAACACTATCTTAGAAAAAAGCTTGGATAATGAGGGATTCCGCAGGCTCTCCCTCCCTCTGATGTATCTTTTGACAATAAATTTTCATCTCCTGCCCTCTTCTTTCTCAGCAGTGCCCCCGTGAGAAAATTTGACTTCAGAAGTCTGCGAAATATTTCTAACCCCTGAGCTATGCATAGAAAATTAATTGAATAA